GTTAACTTAAGCAAAATACAATTAAAAAGAAATCTTTTACAAATGCAATGCTTTCCAAAGTCAGAATAAGTGCCAGTGGTAAGTGTATGTCCCTCCTTTTCCTAATTACTATGGGGAGGATTGACTAAAGAAATGTTAAGAAAAATATGTCAACCTATCATCACAACTAAAGACATTTCCTAGCCTGGAAATACGGTTTTAAAATATATTAAAATTCAAACAACCAGCCTCATTCAAGTTTACTTTATAGGCCCTCAAATATTAATTATTAATAATACTAATTGAAAAAGCAGTTTTTTCCTCCTGGTAAGTGGTCTAAACTACTACTTGAAAGAATCAATCTTACTTGTGGGTAGTGCTTTTTCTATTACTGAGGTGTCCTGTGCATTACAATATTCATTTATGCTTCACTTAAATAAAATCAAGGACTCCAGAGGACCCTTTTAGTGCCCTTGAAATGGGTAATCTAAGTGGTATTTAGTATCTTAGAAGGGCTATTATCTTTAAAAAGTGAATCATCAGTTCCCAAAAGCTGTTTTGGTCTCCTGTTCTTATACCAAAAATGAAGGAGGAACTTGGGTTGTCAAAATATAATGTGATTACATACGTCCCATTCAGCTGTTCCTCCAGAAGATGAGTCATTTACTTAAGGATCAGCCCACCGTGTGCTGTGTGATGGCAGCTGACAGCACTCGACATCCAGGTAGTAGCCCATTTTCAGAGTGATACAGTGGTGAAGGCAAAACCCAAAGCATTAAATAATATAAATGATTATTTGTATTTGGCTTTGGAAAGTGTTTTTGGTTTATTTCCACATGTTACGTCTTACGGTCTCTGAATTTGCTTCAGAAAAAAGCCACTTTGTACACCTATACGTACATAAGAAGGCATTCTGTGAAATCTCACTTTTAACAATTGACTCCCCTCTTTAACTCTACTTGTCTTCAGTTCCTCTCTGCTCACTATTCTGATTTAGGAAAGACAAATGATTTTTTTTTTAACGTTCCATTTATAGTGTTGAATGGGTGGGGGCTTTATATAGGTCTTCAGTTTTATGTCAGGTTGTTGGCCCTCTGTGACTACGACTGGTAAGAACTTTTAGGAATGACCTGTAGAGCAAAGTAGTGTCGTGGAAGGAGTGTGAAATTTACACCCAGAAGACCAGGGTTCAGTGGACTCCTGTTAGTTTACAGTTTTAACCTCTTTGAACTATCATGTAATGATTTAAGGATGTGACTTTTGGAGTCAGACACACCTGGCTTCTCCAAAGACTCTCTGACATAAATTACAGACAAGACTTCGGAGTTCCAGACCAACATTACTGACCGACAAGTACCCTACATCCCTACCTGGCATGTCTCAAAAGCATCTCAATCCCAACATGTCTGGACCTAACCTCATGATCTTCCCCCACAAAACTGGGTTTTTGCCTGTGCTCCCACCACTGGGGGGAGCCCCATGCTCTATCCAGTTACACAAATTAGAAATCTGGGGATTACCTAGGACACCTTAATCTCCCCCACCCTCCTCCATTGAATCCACCAACAACCAGTTCTGCTGATTTTTTTATCTTCTGTTTTTCAAATTCTGTCCATCTCCCTCCCATCTTCATCGCCACCACCCGATCTGTCATCTCTCTTCTAGACCACTGGAAGACCTCCCCTCTCAACCACTTCTAACAGGCCTACCCTTGCCCACCTCTTTGCCACCATCCCCTGTTTGGTTGGCCCTTCAGCTGCAGCCATCTGATCATGTAGATCAGCTCAGAACGATATTTATATCGTACACATCTGGTCATGTCACCTTTCTTCAAATCCCCTTTGGGAGCTCCTCACTGCTCGTAAGATATGGACCAGAATCCTTTACAAAACCTGAGTCTTCAGCTTCACCTGCCTCATTCGTCTCTGGCTCTTTGCCCTTCAGCCACATTGACCTTCTTTTAGTTCCTCAGTTGCATCTTGTTCCCTCCTGTCTTAAGGCCTTTGCAAATGCCGATCCCTCAGCCTGGAATACTCTACCTTTGCCCAGTTAACTCTTCTCGTTCTTTAAATATCTCCTTAACTTGTATTTCTTCACAAACACCTTCCTTGACCCACAATCCCCAAATTAGACCCTAGTTTTGTGACCTCATAGTTCCTTATATTTTTCTTTGATAGTTCTTATCAGAGTTGGCTATTAGCAATCTGTGCACTTGCTTGATTATACCCTTGAACTCTGTGTATTCTTCATACTTGTATCCACTGCCCCTGGCACCTTAGGAAGCTCTCATGTGCATGACCACTTCCCAGATCTGCTTCTTAAGAGCTGGCTCTGCATGTGGGCAAGTTACTTAACTTCCCTAAGTCTAAATTTCTTCTGGAAAAAGGCTAATTAATCCTTGACACATAAGTGGTCATTTATTATTAATGCTGTGGTTATTATTATAATTAATAATGAAACAAATAGTAAAAGACAATATACCATGGTATTGACCAGGATTAAATGATGTGTGTGAAGGGTTATTATAAACTATAAAGCACTATTAAGAACATAATTATTAGCATGAGGAAACACGAGGTGACATTTTAAAATTGAAAAATTGTTCCAAAATATAGCACACATTAAATTGATGAGAATTTTGGAGTTAATCTAGGAAAAACAGAAACTGAACTTTTACCCCCAAATCACCCAACTAGTCAGGGGCCAACCAATGATTGGAACTCAACACTCTTCTCCTCTCTAAACATGTAGTTTTTAATTTATTTAACAAATATTGAACCTCAGACAGTATGCTTAGGCACATGGGATAAAGTAATAGATGATAAGTAGCACTCAATGCTGGCTCTCCAGAAGCATCAGGCAGGTTCACAGAGGCTCTGGGGGTAAGAAGACCCTCCAGTCTTGAAGGTCAGGGAAATTTTGCAAAGGACAAGTAGAGCTGGGGGGGAGGGGCAGGTGGTCAGTGGTGGTCCCTCTGCAAGTGGCACATTCAAAGGTCCTGCACAGAAGTTCCAAGGCCCAGTTCAAACAGGCCTCGTCTCCTGACCATGTGAGTAGAAATCAGGTTGCTGAGCTGCTCAGCTTTGAGAGGGAGGCCCCTGAGCAGTGAGTGTTATGTTCTGTTAGGAGCCCAAGAATGGCCTGGGCATTCAGGACATTTTCTGGGCAAAGAAAACTGCAGTTTATCTGTTCACCCAGAATTTCCCAAGTGAGTGAAATACATCATTCTGTCTTCATTATCGTCAACATACTCAGATAAAACTGGATTTGTGATCATACCTGGACTTCAGAACAATGGGACACTTGTTGATCACTTGGTAAAGACCACCAAACGGACAGTCTTGTATCAAGAAAACAATTAGGCACAACTTAATGTCATAAAGTAAAACTTTATGTTGTAATTTTTTTTGCATTAGAAAAATTTTTTTTTCCATATGTTGAATATAGTGCCACTGTACTTCCTCTAGAAGTATATTCTGAAGTTATGTCCTGTCTACCTTTTTATGTTGAAAAGCCCTCCATTCCTAGCAGGTATGTAAATATTTTATGTCTTTTCTTTCAAAATAAAGAGGGAGCACACTCTGTTGGACCCCCAGTTTCAAGGTTGCTTGGTTTGTTTTTAGTAGGTCTTGGCAGCCCAGAAGTCTGGAAACCAATAGTTTAGATTAGCACTAGAGCATGGAATGCAGAGTGAGCAGCGGTGAGGTCACCTGTAAGCCATGTTGAGGAATCTGGGATTCATCCTGAAGGCGGTGGGGAAACAAGAGGAGGATTTTCAGCAGGATGGTAACATCAGATTTGCCCTTGAAAAGATGGTTCTAGCTGTTCCATACGGATAGGTTGGAGAGGCTAGAGCTGGAAACGGGGAGATGAGTAGGGAGGTAGAGTTAAGGTGTGGGGTGGGATAAAGAGTTTAAATTGGTGGCACATGGGTGGCATATGGGGAGTGAGAGGTAGAGGCCTGAAAGGGGAGTTGGGGTTCCTGGCTTGGTCGAGAGGTAGATGATGGAGCCATGCACTGAGCTGGGGATACAGATGGAACAGGTTTGTGTCTATCGCTTTTATTGTCCCTTTGGGATCTGAGTTGTTTTGCCTAGACTGAATTTTAGGTTCCTTTGGGGCAGCCAAGTGGGAGTGGACCAGATCACCACAGAGAGTCTGCAGAGTGAGAAGTGGGCTGTGGACCAAAAGCAGAGGAGCAAAAGAGGAATCTTGATGGGGATTAAAATAGAATAGCCAGAGGTGAGATGAAAACCAAAGTGCGGCGGCCTGGAAGCAGGGCCCGAATATTTATGGAGCAGGAAGAAGGGTATTAAATGCGGCAGAGAGGTCGAATAAGCTACCCTTCCATTGGGCTGGGGAGCAAGAGGCCATCAGTGACTTTGGTGGGCAGTGCAGGGCCGTTTCAGTGCTCGCGGGCAGCAGCAATATGGTTGGGTGAGCAGTCGATGGCGGTGGGAAGAGCAGATGTCCATTTCCTCAAGTGGGGGTAGCCTGGAGCAGAGCCAGCCCGTGAAGGAGCTGCATCCTCGGCCTACGCAGCACTGTGCAAGTAAGGCCTCATGGAAATGATTATGAAGGGGGCCGAGATAAGGAAAGAAGATCGGTGAAAGGGCGGTACTGTCAGCTGGATGGGGGTGGGGCAGGAGCTCCCTGAGATCCTCCAAGCCCAGTACCCTCTCCTCCCTCTACCCTCTTACCCCATTTTCTCAGGTTCATTTATATATGTGAGAATCTAGGGGGTTGTTTTTCTTTTTCCCACTGAGAAAGGCTTTTTGGTCTCTAGAGTAAAGAAGATTTTTTAAAATTGATCTGTATGGGATTTTCCCCCCATGTGAAATATGAACATATGACACATTTTCTTTGTTTCTCCTTTCATTTGGTTTTTCCACTTTTCAGAGACTCAGGACATGTGTTCTGCCTTCTGTATTTGAAAGACACATGCAGTTCATTTCCTATTCTAGATGCCCCTAAATTGAGATCCTAAAATAACTAGTAGACCCTCTTTAAAAATAAACATTTTGCAGTTTTATCATAGTTTTATTCTTATGATCTGAATAAGATACTTACGTTAGTCCGTTTTGGAAAAAGGGGGGAGCCATACATTTTGCTAAATCGAAGAGATGATATATATCCATTCATGTAAAAATCCCAAACCTCAAAATCGTCCTATAAAATGTTGATAAATTTGATAAAAATTTTATATGTCAAAAATCTCTCTAAAACAAAAGAGAGAAAAATATTAGCAACATATGTGACAAAGGGCTCGTTTTCTTTATATACAAAGGGTTTTACAGATAAGAAAAAAGAACAAATAACCTGATAGAAAATGGGCAAAGCTCATGAAGAGAAGCAAGAGGACATAAAAATATACTTCAGCTCATCATTAAATCCATAGAAGGTAAAAAGTGATATTGGCAAAGATTCTTTAAAAAGTGATAATACCCAGTGTTGGCCAGAGTGTGGGGAAATGGGTGGGGTGGATGGACACTATTGTGTGTCCATAATATTTGAATCTCTTATAACAAGTATATACACTTTAAAGTAGCCATAAAAAATCCCCTATTAATTTTAAACAGACATACTTGTATGTAGTGTGTTCCAAAAAATCAAATGAACCCCAGTTTAAACCCTACTTCTTGTTCTTAGGTATTCTATAATCTTGGGCAAGCTACCTGACTTCCCTAAGCCTGATTCCTCGTTTGTAAAATGTGGTTAGCAAAACCTCAAATAGCTCAAGTCAGTGTTAAAGTAAATGAATGACATATAGGTATTATACTTTTTGTAGAGAAAGGCAAGTTAGATGGGAAAGGAAGTGTTCTGGCGCTTTTCAGAGAACAGCCTTGAAGGCAAGTTTCTAAAGTTATATCCTGGTGGAAGTCAGATGAGAGCGATGTTTCTTAGTCATCCCAGTTACTTTGCCACATGGCAATGTCCCTGTCTCTCCTTCCTGATCTTCAAGCTTTCGCCTTCTCTGACATACGCAGAAAACCCTGGGCAACTAAGTTCCCAATCCACGCCACTGATGTTCACCTGCAAGCAAGACTACAGTCCAGGTCTCTTCACACTCAAACTCCTGCAAACAGGGATGGCTTTCCTGCCCCTCATGCTTGGATATTTAGCTCTTGGTAGAAAACACGATACTTGACATTCTGGAGTCTTGCTCTGTGACCAGATCAGTCTCTTAAAGAATCATTCCACTTTGTTCATTTATTTTAGGGCACACTTGTCAATTTCTGTATCTGCCAGATCATCCCCAGAACCTAACCCTAACCCTAGAACAGGAAAGAGGGTGAGGCGTTGAGCACCAGCTGAGTAAGAATCGATGTGTTTCTGTTTCTATATTTGTTTTTAAGCTTACTGGTAATGCTTTCTCCACAGTCACTTCCCTGATTCTGAAGTTAAGCATCGTGGTTATCCATTTTTAATCTAATTAATTAATGTGTGATGGGCCTTCCTTTTTTAACTTTTTATTTTGAGATAACTGTAGATTTACAAGAAATAATACAGAAAGATCTCATGTACCCTTTACCCAGTTTCCTCTAATGGAAACATCTTGCAAAATTCTGCTCCATCACAACCAGGGTATTGACATTGACACCGTTGAGCTGCAGAACATTTCTGTCACCACAGGGCTCCCTCCTGTTGCCCTTCTACAGCCAAGCATCATTGCCCTCCTCTCCCCTCGCCCCTCCACCACTAATCTGTTCTCTACTTCCGTAATTTTCAAGAATGTTATGTAAATGGAATCGTACAGTATGTAACCTTTGGGGACATAATTCACCCAGGTTGTTGCCTGTTTCTGTAGTTCATTTTGTCTTAAGGCTGAGTAGTTTCCTGTGGTTTGGGCATACCACATTGTTTTAACTGTTCAGCCATCGAAGGGCATCTGGGTCACTTCTGGTTTTTAACTGAGGAGTAAAGCTGCTGTGGATACACAGGTGCAGATTTTTGTGTGAACCTAAGTTTTCATTTCTCTGGGATAAACATCCATGTGTGCAATTGCTGGGTAGTATGGTAGTTACATATTTAATTTTTAAAGAAACTGCTTACTTTTCCAGAGCGCCTGCACCGTTTCACCTTCCCACCAGCAATGGCATGAGCAGTCCATTTCTCCACATCCTTGCCAGCACTTGATTGTTGTTCTTTTATATTTGGCCACCCTGCTAGGCATGTGGTGAATCTCACTGTGGTTTTAATCTGCTTTTCCCTAATCGCTATTGAACTGTCTTTTCATGTGTTTGTTTGCCATCTGCATATCCTCACTTCAAGTATTTTGCCCATTAGGTTTCTAATCCGATTGTTTTTGTACTGTTGACTTTTGAGAATTCTTTATATATTCTAGATACTAGTCCTTTATCACATTTTTTTCTCCTACTTTTTAGCTTGTCTTTTCATCCTCTTACCAGCGTCTTCCTCAGAACAAAAGTTTTTAATTTTTATGAAGTACAATTTATCAATTTCTCCTTTTATGGTTTGTACTTTGGATGAATCCTAGATTCTCTAAGATTTTATCCCATTTTTTTTCCCCAAAAATTATAGTTTTGGTGTTCTACATTTAAGTCTGTGATGCATTTTGAGTTAATTTTTATGTAAGATATGAGACTTAAAGATCAAAGTTCTTTTCCTTTTCTTTTTTCCTTTTCCTTTTCCTTTTTTTTTTTTTGTCTATGGAAGTCCAGTTGATCCAGCACCATTTGTTGAAAACTGTTCTTTCTCCACTGAATTATTTTTGTGCCTTTGTCAAAAATCTACTGTACATAATTATGTGGGTTTCTCTATTCTGTTCCACTGATCTGTGTGTTTATCCCTCCGTCAGTACCATACGGCCTTGAATACTGTAGCTATATAATACATCTCGAAATTGGATAGACTGATTCCTCCCGCTTTATTACTCTTTTTAAGAACTGTTTTAGCTATGCTAGTTTCTTTGCCTTTGCATAAACATTTTAGAATATTCTCGTCTGTATCTACAAAGAAAATCTTGCTGTGATTTTGAAAAGAATTATATCAAACCCATATATCAATTTAGAAAAAATTGATTTATATTATGTGTTCCTAAACATAAATACAGTATGTCTCTTCATTTATTTAGATCTTCTTTGATTTCTTTCACCAGCATTTTGTAGTTTTCAGTATACAAGTCCTATACGTGTTTTGTTAGATTTACATCTATGTATTTCATTTTTTGTATGATTATAAATGATCTATTTCTAATTTCAGTATCCACGTGTTCAGTGTTAGTATATAGAATTACGATTGGGTTTGTTTGTTTGTTTTTGGCTGCATTGGGTCTTTGCTGCTGCGCGGCATGTGGGATCTTCCCGGACCAGGGGTCGAACCTGTGTCCCCTGCGTTGGCAGGTGGAGTCTTAACCACTGCACCACCATGGAAGCCCTACAATTGGTTTTTATATGTTTATCTTGTATCCTGTGGCATGGCCAAAGTCATTTAATAATTCCAGGAGGTTTTGTAGATACCTTGGGATTTTCTGTGTATATAAAAGTCATGTCATCCGCAAATAGGGACAGTTTTATTTCTTCCTTTCCTGTCAGTATGCCTTTTATTTCCTTTCTTGCTTTATTGCTGTAACTAGAATATCCAGTACTATATTGAATAGTGAGAATGGACATCCTTGCATTGTTCTCAGTCTTAAGGAGAAAGCATTCACTCTTTCTCCCCATTAAGTACACTGTTGAGTATAATGTTGATATTTGTGTGCTGGGCTTTTATAAATGCTGTTTGCCTGTGGGAAGGAACACATCAGGATTTGATACACTGGCTCCCCCAGAGGCAGTTCCCCTACTACAAATAGATTGAGGCCATGTGGTTTGCTGGAGTGAAGTATGAGGAATTAAAGAGGTTAGAACCTTGGAGTCAGAACATTCAGATTTAAATTTTGACTCCCCCCACCTTCTGGCCAGATGGACCAGGTTAACTACTTGCACCTCTCGAAGCCCATTTCCTCCTCCACAAAAGATGGAGAAGAGGACCATTCCTGAGCCCTTGCCCTTGAGGAGTAACCGTGTGGGGTTATTATAGCCCTGCCGGCTGCAGCCCTGTCCACACGGCAGGAGCTGGAGGATTGTCCAGACTTGGTGAGATCTTGGCCCTACCCTGCTGTGGCCACACCCCAGCACCTTAATTTACTTGTCTCTCTGGAAGGTTGGACAACTTCTGATGGATCATTAGAATTTGCGTTTGGAATCTTAAACTCAAAGACAAAAGATCCAGGAATGTTTGCTGTCTGGCGGGCTGACTGCTCAGGCCCATTTCCTGGTTCCTCCACTTACCATCTGTATAAACTTGGGCAAAGCACGCAGTCCCCGAATTCACCATAAATTTCATCCTCTGTAAAATGGGAGTAACAACAGAACTACGTCACAGGGCTGTTGTGAAGACTGAGTGAATTTATGTAACGTTTCTAGCAGTGCCTGACATATTAGCTGTGACCATTACTGTTGGTGACTATAAAGACACTACTTATTTGTGAATCATCTTTCTTAAAACAAAATTGTTTGCTTTGCAGATTTTTTAAAAAATGGATTTGGCCAACCATGGACTTATTCTTCTGCAACAGTTAAACGCTCAGCGAGAGTTTGGTTTCCTGTGTGACTGCACGGTTGCCATCGGCGATGTGTACTTCAAGGCACACAAATCAGTTCTTGCTTCATTCTCCAATTACTTTAAGATGTTGTTTGTCCATCAGACCAGGTAACTAACGTGGTTGATAATAATCTAATGACTGTAGACTCTGAACTTCCGTGGCCCTCTTTCCCGTGAACATGCGCTTCGCCCTCATCACCACCGGGGGTCTCGCCGCCTCTCCCCAGGTTCCAGTCCCTCATCACCTCGCTTGCCCCGAGCAGCCCCTCCACCTCCGAGTAGCCACGCTGGGGGTCACCTACACAGTCAGGATCGGCAGGGTCGGGTCCACTACGAAGGCAGCTTCCTCTCACTCCTCCGGCCCTGTCCCGGCTCTCCCCCAGGCTTTGAGTATTTATCCTTGTCTCCTAATGAGAAGCTTGGCGGCCTGAATTCCCACAATTTCCTTCTTTTCTCTCTTAAAATGTCTCAGTCTCCTTATCTTTGCACAGTTTTTTTCCTTCCCATCTCTCTGTCTTGGGGAAAAGGGCCCCTGGTTGTCTAAGGAAAACAATCTTCCTCCTGCCCTTATGCTCCCAGATCCTACCCTGTAGTTTTCATTCTGTACTTTCCATTTTATACTTGTACCCGCATTGCCATCCCCAAGCCTGTGGAGGCTCAGCCCTTCCGTGGCACGGCTGTCTACCTGCGTGATGGTGCTGCTTTTCCTTTGTTTCACTGTGAAAGTTCTACAAAGGATGACCGATGGCCTCGCTTCTCTCCTCATCCCACACTCTTCCTCTCCGTTGGCACTGTGGTTTCCACCCATCGCTCCACTGGCATCATTTTTCCAAGGCCGCTTCTTCATCAGAATCACTGCCTCTTCCCAGTCTCTGTCGTCCCTGACCTCTGCAGCCTTTGCGACTGTTTTCTTCCTTCTGAAGGGCTGTCACCTGCATTTTGATGACTCTGAATCCCCCTTGTTTTTCTGCCTTCTCCACAGGCGCCTCCTGCAGTTTTGGTGAGTGGGGTCTCCACGCTGCTTTCTCTCTGCCTCTCCTGATGGGCGCTCATCTTTTCCTGGGTCTTGCCTCTGCTGGAAACCCGTTGACAGCTCTGGGCTTGATCTTTCTCTGTCTCCAGAACTCTATTTCCCAAGGCCACAGGCTGCCCGCTGGACATCTAGAATTGAATATCCTCTTTTATCTCATTTTGCATGCCTAAAACTGAATTAAGTCTTCCCTGAAGTCCCTTCTGACTTCCCTATTTTTTTATCTTCAAGTAAGCCATACTAAAAATCTCTCTAAAATCGTATCCTGTCGGTGCCCAAATCATGTTTTCTTCATAATTACCTCTCACATTAGTTCTTTCCTTCCCTTCTCACTTCTATTTCCTAATCATTTTCCACGTTACTGTCAGATTAATATTCCTAAGCATTGCTTTGATTGGAGTGTGCCTTTGATCCGAAACCTACCAGAGCGTGTTACTCCTTTGATTGGAAACCAAGAGGACACCCGTCACACATCAAAATAGCACACAGATTCCTCATTCTGTCTTTCAAGGCCCTGCAGGCATGAAGCCTGACCTCCTTCCAGCCTGTCTCCCGACCGCACGCCCACCTGGACCACGCTTTGCTGGCCTTCTGCCCACTCCCTGAGTTCTAGTTTACACATCACCTCTTCCGTGACCTCCGCCCCCGCAACAGTCAAGTGAGCCGAAATGATCAAAAGCAGTCTCTTCCTCTCTCAATAGCACTTTATTTATGCCATTTTGTAAGAGCAACATATTTTCCCTTTGTTGTTGTTATTTGCGTACTTACTTACCGCCCCTCCTCATTTGTAAGATGCTTGAGGGCAAAGACTGGGTTTTACAAATGTTTTTGAACATTTGCAGCCAATAGTTCGGGGATTTGTACATAATAGACACTTGATAAATGTCTAGAGGAGCAGAATGGGGGATTAGTAGGATTAATGGCAGGCGGAGCTTGCTTTGTCTTGGGACACTAAAGATGCTTCCGTTTCCTTCATTGTCAGAGACATCACAGCTAATAGGCACTGGAAGTCTCTACGCAGTGAATTAAATTGTCTTGCAAAGGGACAGGTTTTCATTTTGAGGAATAAAAGAATATAATGTAATGAGTTTTAAATAGATGCAGGAAACTTAAGTGTAGAAGAGTAAGCAAATACCTTTCTAACAAAGGAATGTGATGTTGGTGCAGAGAGGAGCCCCAAGTTTCAGCAACAGTGTGTTATTGCCCCAGGGCTGGCACGTGCCATTTGGGCTGCCTGAGGCCTTGACCGCCTCTGGTGAGAGGAGAATACTGCGCGAAGACCACAGCCATGCTTTTAACTGCTGGCTACTGTAGAGATAGACCAAGAATACAGTTTTTTCACACTTAAGAAGAGTGTTTTATGTCTGCAGTTACCACTAGATGTCTCTGTCTTATGGACACTCTCTAAGTGAAAGTTTTAAATCATGTAGCACTGCAGACTTGGAGCTCTCAAAAATAAAACAGAGACAGGCCTTGCTAAGTACAACCTCTGACAACATCTAACGTTATTTTAAAATCTTTACTTTCAAAGGGTCTAGTGAAGGAAAGATTGAAAATGTAAATGTGAAAGTTTACAGGAAGGGCATGTAGCTGTGCTAAAACTATATTTTTCCTCCATAAAAGTGTTACGTCAAACAGACCTCTGCAAATCAAACCACTTAGGTGTAAGCATATTGTAGAGAGCTGTGTCCTTCCCAGAGCACTTGCAAATGACCAGAGTGGCCCAGAGCAAGCTTGAGCGAATCGACAGGAGGTCTGGCTGACTGGGAGGGAGAGCCGTCAAGGACAGCAATGGCTGGAACGTAACATAAGGAGTTTTTTGGGTTTTTTTTAATTGGTTGCTAACTTTTTTTTTTTTGGCTGCATTGGGTCTTCGTTACTGCGCACGGGCTCTCTCCAGTTGCGGCAAGCAGGTGGCCATTCCTCGCTGCAGTGTGCAGGCCTCTCATCGCGGTAGCCTCTCCCGCTGCGGAGCACGGGCTCCAGGCTCACGGGCTCTAGAGCGCACGCTCAGTAGTTGTGGCTCCGGGCCCAGTTGTTCCGCGGCATGCGAGACCCTCCCAGACCAGGGCTTGAACCCGTGTCCCCTGCATTAGCAGGTGGACTCCCAACCACTGCGCCACTAGGGAAGCCCTAAGGAGCTTTTTAAAATAATTTCTGAAGTGTCTTGAGTGTGTCTATGTGCTTCTGCTTTAAGAAAAGAAAAAAAAGTGAACAAATCAGGATAAATTGGCATCTGGAAACCTCCCAGAGCCCTGGGCACTTGCAGTAAACTCCAGGGACATGCCCTTTCCTCTCCCTGGGGGTTCCTCACTAGCTCTGCGGCCCCTGGGGTCCTTCCTTCTCCCTCTAAGCCTGGCTGAAGTGTGGACGGGGCCTCCCCAGCCCCATCCCTTCTCTGCCATCAGAAACTGTATGAAGTTCTTTAAAATTTGAGAGATTTACTGTCCAGTCACCTCCATTCACAGTCGGTAGACAGAGGACAACCTATACAATAACAAATAAGGGGAAATTATAAAACTTACAACAGAGTTTTTCTGGAAAGGGGCCCTGCTTTGTATTTACCTCTCATGGATGCTGAAAAATATAGCCCTGCTTTGGATTTCTGCCCTTCCCTCTTCTCTGCCCTGGGGGCAGCGGGGCTCACTCTCCCCTCCTCCTGCCCGGAGGAGCATTCCTACCCACAGAACAAAAGGTGCCCTATGGTCTCCTGGGGGTGATTTGCATCTCTGAAGGCCTGTGGCTTTCCGGTTCATTAGGCCTTTGCCTGGCCCTGGAAAGATCCCCAGTAGTTAAGTCTTCAATCTGGAGTTGATTGCTTACATTATGAAAGTATCCTTCACCACACCTAATCCCTGCAGCTTTATTTTGAATATTGAATTTCCCTAAAGCATCTAAATATGTTCTAGTATTCACATAATATTGTTGGCACTTACCTTGTGCTTAAAGGGAGGCCCACCCAATAAAGACATGAATGATCTGTGTGTCTTTTTTAAAAACAGAGTGACATAAACTCTTCCTCTTTCTACGGTCAAAGGGGTGCTGGTTTTTAGGCTTGATCTTTATTCTTTGGCTTCCATACTTTATAGTCAAACATTTTCCACATGATTATTTGTATGCCGTCATGTTGAAATATACACACATTGATAGCGATGTAGTAATTATCCAAATCTATTTTGTCACAAATTGCTATTAAAGTCACTTTCCCCCCTTTTTTTAACAGAATAAAATATTAAATTTAGAAGAGCAGAATATACTGATACTATTTTAGCATATTGGAAAATATTTGTTAATAAGATAAATAGCTTAATAGTAATAGTAAATCATAATAGTAATAAGTGGTATAATCAAAAATGATTGTAAATTCTAAAGGAATTCAAGGAAGGTGTCTTTAAAGTTTAAAAATGCACTGTCGGGCTTCCCTGGTGGCGCAGTGGTTAAGAATCCGCCTGCCAATGCAGGGGACACGGGTTCGATCCCTGGTCCGGGAAGATCCCGCGTGCTGTGGAGCAACTAAGCCCGTGCACCACAACTACTGAGCCTGTGCTCTACAGCCCATGAGCCACAACTCCTGAGCCCTCGTGCTACAACTCCTGAAGCCCGGGTGCCTAGAGCCCGTGCTCCACAACAAGAGAAGTCACCGCAATGAGGAGCCCACGCACCACAACGAAGAGTTAGCCCCCGCTCACTGCAACTAGAGAAAAGCCCGTGCACAGCAACAAAAACCCAACACAGCCAAAAATAAGTTAATTAAATAAATAATTTTTTTAAAAGAAATACACTGTCTATAGAACATATTCACTCAGTGTGTGATAGCACACATACCTCATAATATGTAGATATATATCTCACTGATTTATAATGATGCATTAGAGTTTCCCTGAGGGCCCAGGGAGAGTTCTTGGGACCTTTTTATTATTGTTGCTTGAATCAGAATGCTGTTTCTGGGATGATGCAAACACTAAAGTCTAAAAGTTATAAAATCAATTTTGCCACAGCTGCTTTAGCTACCTCAGATAAATCATTTAACTTTGGGGGACCTCAGTTTCCATGTCTGTCAGATGGGAATAATCAGATCTGCCTCATCTACTACACAGGGTTGTCTTAATGCTCCAAAGAATCTTGGTGCTTTGGCTTAGGAGTTAGACTCAAATTTAAATCCCAGTTCCGTTGCTTACTAACTCTGATATTGAGCAAGGTATAAATCCCTTTGAACCTTAACTCCTTATCTGTAAAATGAGAATTAATGGCAATTAAATGAGAAAATGCCTATAAATCCCAGCTGCAGGGACATCCCTGGTGGCGCAGTGGTTAAGAATCTGCCTGCCGATGCAGGGGACACAGGTTCGATCCTAGGTCCGGGAAGATCCCACATGCCGCGGAGCAACTAAGCCCGTGCGCCACAACTACTGAGCCTGCGCTCTAGAGCCTGCAAGCCACAACTGTTGAGCCCGTGTGCTGCAACTACTGAAGCTCACGCACCTAGAGCCCATGCTCCACAACTAGAGAAAGCCCACGTGCAGCAATGAAGACCCAAAGCAGCCAATAAATAATTATTAATTAATTCTTTTAAAGATAACTGGAGAATATTAGAAACAATTTAAAAGAAAAAAAATCCCAGCTACAGTTCTAATGAGGATGATTACATATGTTAAGGAACTGAGTTGTCCCAGAGCTGCTTTTCATGCAGTCTAGCAATGCTGGGGCAGTGATCTGACTCCATTCGAGCTAGAATGTGGTTTGCCGTTCCTGTTCTTCCCAGCTCTACAGCACCCCATCCTCATGCTGGAGAGAGCAGAGGGTTGCAGAGCGGGGGTAAAATGAGGTTTTCCTTTTTCTCGCTTTTGTTGTCTTGCTCTTAGGCACTAGTCCAGCTCCTCCATGTTATATTGTTTGACTCTTACCTTGAAAGATCTGCTGAGCTCTGGATGGCCCTGGATCAATACAGAGTCCTAGACATTTAGCTAAAAGATCTGCAGGTCAGTGGTTCTTAACCATCTACTGGGTCACAGGCCACTCTCAGATAGAAAGCAATGGATCCTCTCCATAAAACACAAAGTTTTTTATATATGATATAATTTTACGTAGATTACTAGGAGAAAAACTGCTTCAAGAGTCTATGAGTTAAGATACCACATTTGTTTAACGTGAATTTTCCTTTCTCGGTCCTTTAAAATATCCTTATTGTATTTCTCTCTGTTCTTAATAGGATTAGAGTTAAATCATATAGGCTCCAGTATTCTAGTTCATGAAATGAACAGTAAGATATGCGTGAGATGGTCTTGTTTCATTTGCCTTTATAAGTACCGGGTTTTTCCCCCAGGCTTTATGTTGTCATTTGAGTCATGAATTGACGTTCACTCACAGGCTTGTTTTTTGCCTGTGTGTTGCAGTGAGTGTGTCCGTTTGAAACCCACTGACATCCAGCCCGACATCTTCAGCTACCTCCTGCATCTGATGTACACAGGGAAGATGGCACCTCAGCTGATCGACCCTGTGCGGTTAGAGCAGGGGATCAAGTTTCTCCACGCTTACCCGCTGATCCAGGAGGCCAGCCTGGCCAGTCAAGGAGCCTTTTCTCATCCTGACCAGGTTTTTCCGCTGGCGTCTTCCTTGTATGGCATTCAGATTGCAGATCATCAGTTGAGGCAAGCCACCAAGATTGCTTCAGCGCCGGAAAAACTTGGCCGAGAGCCACGGCCACAGACGTCCAGGATGAGCCAGGAGCAGGTGCCTGAGGCCTCCCAGCTCTCCCAGCTGCCCTCGAACCTGACCCAGGTGAATCGGACACACATGACCCCCTCAGACCCGCTGCAGACCTCACTGTCGCCCGACCTCGTCTCCACTCCTGTTCCTCCCCCGCCCCCCGGGGAGGAGACCAATCTGGAAGCCTCTTCCTCGGACGAGCAGCCTGCGCCCCTCACCATAGCCCACGTCAAGCCGAGCATCATGAAGAGGAACGGAAGCTTCCCCAAGTACTACGCCTGCCACCTGTGTGGGCGGCGCTTCACCCTCCGGAGCAGTTTGCGGGAGCACCTCCAGATTCACACGGGGGTCCCCTTCACAGCCAGCCAGCCCGGAGAGAGCCGCGTGCCCCTGTCTCTCTGCAGCAACACGGCGGACCTAGGAAAAGACACCATGGAGGTGCCTGAAGCGGGGATGATCAGCGACAGCGAGCTGCGGCACATCTCGGACTCGCCCATAATCGATGGGCAGCCGCACTCGGAGACGCCGCCGCCCTCAGACATCGCGGACATTGACAACCTGGAGCAGGCGGACCAGGAGAGGGAGGTCAAGAGGCGCAAGTACGAGTGCACGATCTGCGGTCGCAAGTTCATCCAGAAGAGCCACTGGAGGGAGCACATGTACATACACACCGGGAAGCCTTTCAAATGCAGCACTTGTGACAAGAGCTTCTGCAGGGCCAACCAGGCTGCCCGGCACGTGTGCCTCAACCAGAGCATCGACACGTACACCATGGTGGACAAACAGACTCTGGAACTCTGCACCTTTGAGGAAGGCAGTCAGATGGACAACATGTTGGTACAGACGAACAAACCCTACAAATGCAACCTGTGTGACAAAACGTTCTCAACTCCCAATGAGGTTGTTAAACATTCATGCCAAAACCAGAACTCAGACGTTTTCGCCCTAGACGAGGGGCGGTCCATTCTCCTGGGCAGTGGGGACTCTGAAGTGACGGAGCCCGACCGCCCAGTGTTAGCTTCCATCAAAAAGGAGCAGGAAACAGTGTTATTAGACTGAATGTTACTTATCTTTTTAAAAAACTGTCATTTTTACAAAGACTATCTTCCTTCCCTTCCCCCAAGTCAGAACTCTTGTTCTCCATGGCATGATACAAACAGGTCCCCACTCCCTCCCTCCCCCTCCCCCTGCCCCGTCCCCAGCCCCCCCTCCTCCGTAAAGGCTTTGTGCATTATAAACCTGGAACATATTTACTTTAATTCAGGGGATATTGGAAAGATAATGGTCAGTAGTACTTACAAGCTCAAATAGACTTCAAGAAGTTTTGGATGATTGGAACTAATGAAGGGTATATAACAAAACAAAACAATTCGAATGCAATTTGGTAAGCTAAAATTATGACTTTCCCTGGGTAATAAGTCTTCCTTCTCAGAAAGACAATGTCTGAAAATACAGCATGCTGCCTAGAGATACAGTGGGGCTCTGTACTATGCAAAATCTAGAGGTGTGGGGAACTTTAAGTCCAAGAAAACGTACTTAGTATTTATCCTCCAGAGGTCTTATTTCAGAATGCATCCTTTGAGATTATGTCCAGTTAAGAAAAATTATTAGTTAAGAAATCTACTTGAACAAAACACAAAAGAGAAAAAGTAATAATGTGATGGCAATCTTAATTTTTGGATAAAACGTGACAAGCTGTGAGTTTGCATGTCTGGAAGAGAAAATGTGTGGATACTTGATGTAAACAGGTGAATTAATGCAAATGCCTTATCTAACTGCTGGCTTCTTTCAAAGTTGAACAACAACAAAATACTGTGTTTTAGTTTCTGACAAATTTGTCAGTTGTTTTAAAAACCAGATTTGAAAGTACTGTTCTATAGATTGTCTTTCTGAATAGAAAACAACATGCCATTCTAGCAGTTGCCAGTGGTAAATTTGTTTTTAGCACCAGTCAGCTGCTTTTAAATCAGTGTGTGTATGTGGGGAAAAGGATACAGGAATATGCATCTTACAGGGAAACTTGTGAGCAGATGTAGCAACTTCAATAACTTTAAATGTTACTGCTAATAGTTTACTGGCAACATTCATTGAAGCATCAAAAATGGCAAAGAGAAATGAGGACAAAACACTTAACTGCTGTTTCGGAAAAAACTTAATTTTGATGTTTAGTCTCCAGTTTTTTTTTTTTAAACACTGAAATTTCCTCCATCGGCCTGAAAGCAGTAAAAGTTGTCCATTAATCTTCCTTTAGGCCAGTAACAGAATGGTCTCACAGGATAAAACAGGAGCCAGAAATAAGGACCGAAGGGGAAAGGGAAGAACAGTTAATAACTGTGCTGTACGTATATGTTAAAAACTGAATATCCCGTCATCCTATTTCATGTATAGTTGAGTTCTCAGATTTGTAAGTTTTTATACATACTTTCATTGAATAAACATTTGACTAAATGGGTACATGATTTTATCTATGCATTAGTTTGTCTACCCAAAAAGATGCAGGAAGGCCAAGTAGAGAGCATTGCCCCAAGAGTCAATTTCTTGCTATGTCTCCTCCTCTCTCTATCTGTTGAACTTTGGGCAATTCCCCTACCCAGAGTGGTACTGTCTCTATTTGTAAAATGAAGACAATAACTGCATTGGATCATAAGACTGTGAGAATCAAACGAGTCAACAATATAAGAAGATGCTATGAAGAATCAGGATTTGACCACGAATGGGTCTAGATATTGTCTTATCCAACTTTTTTTTACAAGGAGGTAAAAAAGAGGCTAAGGTGTTTGCCTAAAGATGACACGAATACAGGCTATATAAACCTAGATTATTAAATATTAAGAGGTTTCTACCAATTTCATCTTTTTTAAAAAAAACTACAGTAGTCTCCACTTATCTTCAGGGGATACGTTCCAAGAACCTGAAACTGTAGACAGTACCAAACCCCATATACCCTATGTTTTTTCCTACACATACATACTTAAGTTTAATTTACAAATTAGACACAGTAAGAGAATATCTAAATTGCCAGCATCACTGCTTTTGCGTTTTGGGGCCATTTTTAGTAAAATAAGAGTTATTTGAACACAAGCACCGCAATACCCTGACAGTCGATTTGATAACGCAGACGTTAAATGACTAACAGGCGGGATATGCTAGGCAAAGGGGTGATTGACGTCCCAGGAGAGATGGAGTTGGCGGCACAGTATTTCATCCTGCTACTCAGACGGCCACAATTTAAAACTTATAAATTGTTTATTTCTGGAATTTTCCATTTATTCAGATGGAAGTTGACAGCAGAAAGTGAAACCTCGGATAAGGGTACTACTGTATATTCACATCTCCCAACTTAGATGAGAGTCTTGTGCCTAGTTAACTCCTCTGAATATCTGAAAGGGATAATCAAGGTGTGCCTCCACAGCCCTTCAGGCAGACAGGGAGTCTTGAAGACCAGAAAGTCATGGGAATCACAAAGGATCTGGTGGATGAAGAGAGAGGGGTGAGTGCCTGCACCCTGATGAAGAAGGAAGGGTAGGTGTTGTGTTCACCTACTCATGCTGGGGTGCAGGGGCTCTTAGCAGCTTGCGGCCACCTCCTCCATGTGACAGACCTGGACAATGCCAGTTCCCTCCCCAAACCAAAAGCTGAGTACAGATAAGGAAGCCCACCCTACCCTGAGATACTCGGTACCTATTTAATCCCAAGAGGTTATAAACTAATAATTTATTCTGAGTTTTTGATGGTACCAGTTTAAATAAGCTTTGGACATTTCAGTTGATGGTATTGTTCCTGGTGATTTTGAGCTTCTTGACGTCTCCTCGCAGAAAGAATTCAATGAGAGACAGAGTTACAGATAAGAAGTGGATTTATTTAGAGAAACACACTCCACAGACAGAGTGTGGGCCAACTCAGAAGGCAAGAGGGCCCTGAAATACAACGTCGTCAATTTTTATGGGCTGGGTAATTTTATAGGCTAATGAGTGGGAGGATTATTCCAATTATTTGGGGGAAGGGGCGGAGATTCCATGAATGGGCCATCGCCCACTTTTTGGCCTTTTATGGTTGGCTCAAAACTGTCATGGCGTTTGTGGGTGTGTCATTTAGCATATGCTAATGTATTACAATGAGCGTATAATGAGGGACAAAGTCCTCTGGAAGTCAAATCTTCTGCCATCTTGGACCCAGTTTCTTCTAACCAGTTTTTGTCATGTCCTATGGCTATGGCATTCTTTTAAACGTTGTGCCCTTCCCCCTTTCCTCCTGTTTCATTAAGAGCAATCTGAACACCTAAGCTTTAGAATTACTTTGAGCTGTCATCCTCCATGCTTTAGCCCTTATTAACCCCACTGGTTCTATTACTTTTCCTTTCTTAGGGAAAACAATAAACGACTCATTCAACAGATGTTGCTAAATGATAGATTCATAAAGAACTGTAGGATTTTATTTTACCATAGGAAATATGGCTTTAATAGGAAGAAAGCATTCCATTAAAATATATTTATCAATTATTCTTCAATAAAGCTGAAAAATAAATAAACAAGGTAGCTTGGATAATGATAGAAGAATGCAGAGTAGAGTGGACCCCAAACCTCCTTGTTAAAGTCATAAGAACTAGCCACCATTCTTTTTTGTAGTTTCACCTTGCAAGAGAGGGGAAGAGCTGAGACATCCAAAATAAACATTTCTAGTTCAAAACGTCAGACCTCAGTCATGCGTTTCAGGTAAAATACTAAATTGCTTCGTTTAAAAAGATACAGGGGGCTTCCCTGGTGGTGCAGTGGTTGGGAATCCGCCTGCCGATGCAGGGGACGCGGGTTCGTGCCCCGGTGCGGGAAGATCCCACGTGCTGCGTAGCGGCTGGGCCCGTGAGCCATGGCCGCTGAGCCTGCGCGTCCGGAGCCTGTGCTCCGCCACGGGAGAGGCCACAACAGTGAGAGGCCCGCGTACCGAAAAAAAAAAAAAAAAAAAAAAAGATATAGGCACTTAGAAGGATGATTGTGGAGGATGGTATGTGCGTGGTACCTCCTGAAATTTGGCTAGGAATTGAGATGGGCGAGGGGGAGCCCTCTCGTACTAATTCACTAGGAGTGAATTCTAAGACAAAAGTATGTGTACAGTGAGTAGTTTATTGTAATGAAATTTAACGTGCTCTTCGGGTTGACTTTGCATTTTTATGACAATTTTTGCTTTGGTTTAGTCCTCCATTTTGGTCTAGAACAAATTATTGCTATATATTACTTGCGGGTAAGCAAGATTTAGGCTTGGAAATCTTTAAGTAAATAAAAAACTAATTATCTTAAGATATGATCAATGAAACTCCTTTTTCTAGAACTAGCTCGTAAAACACAACTGGAAGACTATCACTAAACTGTGTAATAGCTCTCTAAATAAAAGAAAGACTAGGGGCTTCCCTGGTGGTGCAGTGGTTAAGAATACGCCTGCCAATACAGGGGACACGGGTTCGAGCCCTGGTCCAGGAAGATCCCACATGCCACGGAGTAACTAAGCCCGCGCGCCACAACTTGAGCCTGCGCTCTAGAGCCCACAAGCCACAACTATTGAAGCCCACGCACCACAGCTACTGAAGCCCCCGCGCCTAGAGCCCGTGCTCCGCAACAAGAGAAGCCACCGCGATGAGAAGCCCAGGCACCGCAAGAAGAGTAGCCCCTGCTCGCCGCAACTAGAGAAAGGCCGCGCACAGCAACCAAAGACGCAATGCAGCCAAAAATAAAATATTTTTTTAAATTAAAAATAAATAAATAAATAAAAATGAGACTGAGAATCTCAGTGTGGGAAAAAAATGGATCAGGATGAAATGATATTGTGGCTTCATTCTCCTCAGGCAGATCAAAAAAGAAATTTTTTTTTTTGGCGCCTTGTGCGGCATGCCGGATCTTAGTTCCCCCACCAGGGATCGAACCCCGGCCCCCTGCCGTGGAAGTGCAGAGTCCTAACCACTGGACCACCAGGGAATTCCCAAAATATTTTTTAACATAAGGAATAGTTATTAAATTTTTGACTCAAGCTTGTGCTATTCTCTGGAAAATATTCAAAACCTACCCTACCTAAATTCCCTGGTTGTTGTGAAGATCGATCCTTATGAAGAAGGCATTACAAACTGAAGGGCTGAACCTGGGGAAGCAAGATCCTTCTTTTTATTTTTATTTTTTTAACATCTTTATTGGAGTATAATTGCTTTACAATGGTGTGTTAGTTTCTGCTTTATAACAAAGTGAATCCGTTATACATATACATATATCCCGGTATCTCTTCCCTCTTGGGTCTCCCTCCCTCCCACCCTTCCTATCCCGCCCCTCTAGCTGGTCACAAAGCACTGAGCTGTTGCGGAAGCAAGATCCTTTATAGGGTGTCTGTGTGCTCCTCCCAACAATACTGTCAGACATGTGTCCCATGTTTACAGTTGAGGGAATTGAGGCCCAAAGAAGTTAACGAACTTTTCTGAGGTCACCCAGACAGGATTCAAACTCCCATGTGGCTCAGATGCTATATTCCCCAATGTGCAAATATTTCTGTGGTCTAGAAGCAACTGGGGGGAAGGTATGTCAGGAGAGGGGTGGGAATCTGGAAGGGGAAACCTTTTCCACCTGTTAACCTATTCATTCTGCTATTGAAGCGATTAACTTAATTCTGTTTTATTGCCTTTACTACAGTAGTCCTAAAACTTCAGCACATCAGAATCTTCTGGAGGGCTCGATAAAACAGACTGCAGAGTATCTGATTCAGTCGGTCCAGGGTGGGGCTGAAGAATTTGCGCTTTAAACAGGTTCCCAAAAGATGATGATGGAGATGATGATGCCAGAAGCAACACTTTGAGAACAACAGCATCGCTATACAATTTGTGTTGTAGTATTACTGCCTTTTCTTGGTTCTACTTTCTTCTCAGAATTGAAATAACCAGGGGAGGGACTTCCCTGGTGGGCCAGTGGGTAAGACTCCACGCTCCCAATACAGGGGGTCCAGGTGCGATCCCTGGTCAAGGAACTAGATCCCGCATGCGTGCTGCAACTAAGAGTTCACATGCCGCAACTAAGAAGTCTGCGTGCCACAACTAAAGATCCTGCATGCTGCAACTAAGACCCGGCGCAGCCAAAATAAATAAATAAGTAACCAGGGGAGCTAATAAAGGGCCAGAAAGGGGTCTGTGCCATTTCTAGCATGCTTCTCTCTTTGAAGCAAAGTGCTCCTTAATGAGATGTGTGCAACGTACAGATTGGTGCATGAACCCTTAAAAATGCATGTTTGAGAGGCCCTAGAATTTATTTTAAACCTCCCTGTTCTCATTCTAAATGCCTTTGTAATCTCTGAGCACAGAAAAGATCATAGCCATAGTAACCAAATACCCTAACTAGCTTTTGAGGAGGTCACCTAGACCATCCTCCTTACTCTAAGAGATGCAAGGATCTGGATGAGGAAACAAAATGGTGGTAATTACAGAGTCCACG